TTTTTTTACCTTAAACCGCATAAACACATTTCATTACACCAAATACACAAAATAATGTTCTTTTTAACAACATCATATGACCCCTTTAACCTAATATGGCCTAATATGGTCAATAAATGGCATCTTAAATTAAATTTTTTAATTGTCAAAAGTTAATGTATGATCTCTACGTGTGAAAACAATCCTTCGTACACTTTTATTGTGGTTTTTGAAAATTATTCCATCAAGCAAATCAACCAGTCACCGACTTCAGGCTTACGGTGAATAAATAGCAGAAATCTTAAACTGTTCTATGTGTGAAAACAATCTTGCACTGTCTTAGAGGAAAGAGACAGTTTTTATTGTACATTTTGGACATATACTCTTATAAATAAATGTTCGTCATTGGTATTAATGGTTCCACGAAGAACGTTTGACATATATGGAACCTTTGCATTGCATAAAATGTTTTTTTTATATGAGGAAAATTATTTAGATTATTAAATGTTCTTTTTTGGGGGGATCAATGTTTTATTGTTTTTGCATAGAAAGGGTCATATACAATTGTCCAAAATCTTCTTCACAATAAACAGAACAAGCTGACCATTAGAATGATTTCTGAAGGATCATGTGACACTAAAGACTGGAGTAATGATGCTGAAAATTCAGTGCTGCTTCACAGAAATAAATTATATTTGAAAATACATTAAAATAGGAAACCAATATTAGAAATTTCAATAATATTTCACAATACTACTGTTTTGTTCTGTATTTTTGATCAAATACAGCCTTGATTAGCTTGATGAGAAAAAAAAAACATTAAAAATCTGATCTTTTGCTCTTAAAAAGATTTGTGCTTTATTTTTTTTAACAAATCAAGAAACAAATTCTGATTGTATTGATTAAACTTTAGATCTACACATTCAACAAGTTTGACTTCAACGTTTGTGTATTTTTTTTCCCCTTTCGCTTTAGTTTCTCCCCAGTGTTTGCGTGCGATTGATGACCGAAAACAGGAAAAAACAGTGTGGTTGGTTCTTCAGATTTGGTAATAGTGTAGGCATCAAGAGAAGGTGAGGTAGATAAAGAGGAAGAGCTGCGCGATGGCGTCTACCTTGGCGGTTCTTCTGCTCCTGTCTGCAGGTTTATTCACGGTAAAAGCCGGTAAGTTAGGCTACCTGTTACAAAAATCTAAAGAAACGCTTTAAACTTAGATTTGGGCAGTTTACCGATGGCTGAAAATAATTTATTCAGCACTTGAGAGGAAAAAAATCACGATGTTAATGTTATAAAGTCCGTTCTCTTGAATCATCGGATGGTCTTTTATGTGTCGTATTTCTACTGTTGTTTCAGGTTTTGGTGAGAACTGTGAGAGCTACTACACCATCTATAACGAGTACAGGCCTGGGTTTAAGTGCTTTTTTCAGTACTGCTGTGGAAACTGTGATAACAGATTCTGCTGCCTCAGTGAACATTTGAAGTTAACCGAGTCTGTTCAAAGCCTCTGCGCTATGTAAGGAATTGTATGTCATTTCTTTCTTAATAAAATGGTCCATTAGATCTTTTTATACACGTCATGATTATCTTTCACTCAAACTTGAAACCCTATCTTTTCTAACATTTGTTAGTTGAGGTTCTGTCTTTCATTTTTCTTGCACCAACCCACCATTTCCTACAGAGCTAGGTTGTGGTATTTTTCTCTGAAATGCAGTCTGCAAAATGCATCCTCCAGATTGGTGCCTGTTACTCTTTTAACTGTCACTTTGTTATTTAAGCAGGGCTTGACTCTTACCTTTTCCCCTTTGAATCGTGATTTGATGTTGTATATTTTTAACAATCCAAGCACAAAGCAAATTAACCAGTGCAGTAACCAGTGCGTTAATAAATAAACATATTTGAATAAATGAAGTGGTAATTAATAACATTTTAATATATAAATAAGATTGTATATATACTAGATGCTAAAGAGTGTTTCTAATGCTTGTTGCTTCATGTGTTTGTCTGTCTAACAGCAGAAACAGTGAAACACTTACCATTGTCTTGATAGTAGTGGGGGTTGTGTTCCACATTATTGTGTTCATCATCTGCTGCTTCTGCCCCTGCTGCTGCATCTATAAAATGTGCAGGAAACCCAGACGTAAGTGTTTTAGTTTGCAAAAAACGGAAAATGTACTCACTCTCAGGCCATCCAAAATGTAGATGAGTTTGTTTCTTCATGGGAACAGATTTGATCAAATGTAGCATTACATCACTTGCTCACCAATGGATCCTCTGCAGTGAATGGGTGCCGTCGGAATGAGAGTCCAAACAGCTGATAAAAACATCACAATAATCCACAAGTAATCCACACCACTCTAATTTATCAATTAACGCCTTGTGAAAAAAGCAGTGTTTGTAAAAAAAACAAAAAAAAAAAGCAAAAAGCTGTGTTTGTAAAAAAACAAATCCATCAAGGCATTTTTAACATTTTTAAAACCGTCACTTTTGGTCAAAATAACCATAATATTGCTTTCTCCAGTTAAAAAAAAAAAGGTCTTGTCTGAATCAGGAGAAAAATCGGTAGCACTTTATTTTACAGTCCTGTTACTCATGTACATACTGTGTACTTATTATAGTAATTACAATAACTAGGTAATAACCAGGTACTAACCCTGAACCTAACCCTACCCCATGTAGTTACCTTATGCTACCAGGACTTTCTTAGGTAGGTACACTTTAAGTACACTGTAAGTACATGTACTGTAAAATAGAGTGCAACTTCAAAATCTGCACAGATCAAGCACCGGTTACGAGCGAAAAGAGTTCTAACTGTTCTAAAGAAATATGTTGTTGCATTTTGAAGTGAGAGACAACAGGAGATGGACTTTTACACTGGAGGAAGTGTTAAGGATTTAAGTTAAAAACGTCTTGATGGATTCGGTCCTTACAGACATACTGATTTTTGCTTCACAAAATGTTAATTGATGGACTGGAGTGGTGTGGATTAGTTGTGAATTATTGTGATGTTTTTATCAGCTATTTAAACTCTCTTTCTGACGGCACCCATTCACTGAGAGGATCCATTGGCGAGCAAGTGATGTAATGCTAAGTTTCTCCAAATCTGTTCTCATGAAGAAACTAATTCAGCTACATCTTGGACAGCCCGATGGTGAACAAATATTCTGCGCGTTTTCATTTTTGGGGCGAACTGTTCCATTATGGGGATTATACATTATTTAGGGGCTGGTAAAATTGAATTATACATTGATTTCTGTCTTGTTTTTTTCCCCCTCAGCTGTGGCAGGAGCCCATGTAACTACAGTCACAAATACACATTTCATTCAGCAGCAGCCTGTAATGCAGGGGGCCCAGTGCCCACAATACCAACCAGTGCCGACTCAACCGGGTTACGGTCAGCCAATGCAGACGGGACCATATCAGGGACAGCCATATGCACCAGGACCCCCACCCTCATGTCAAGTGGCCTGTAAGAACACCTAGTACTCGACAGACTGAAACCATGTAGTAGTCTTTTCTGTGAAAGTAACAATTTTTTTCCGTTTCCAGTGAGTCCTGGATATCCCACTAGTCAGAGTGCATATGACGGAGGCCAGGCCATGTACCCCATGCAGCCGCCTGCCCAGCCGGGTGTCGCTTATATGCCTTCACAGACATCGAATCAGCTGGCCTACAACCCCGCCTACGTGCAGCCACCAAACATCGGTTACTAAACCGCAACCGTCTGTCACATCAGACATTGCTGCATTGTGGAGGTTGACGCACTTTCGCGAGGCAGTAAGAATGTGCCCAATTTAATGTGGATTATACAAGACTAGTGGATGTGTTATAGTCAGGGTTATTACAGTTTTTTTTTTTTAAAGGTGCAGTGTGTAAATTTTAGCGGCATCTAGCGGTGAGGTTGCGAATTGCAACCAACGGCTCAGTCCCCCGCTCACCCCTCCCTTTAGAGAAGCTAAGGTGGCCGATACAGGACTAAGATGTCTTCGGTAAAGACAGCGGAGAGCAATGAGATTTCTTTACAAAGGTAAATTAAGGAATTATATTTACTTAATTATTAATAAATCGATGTTATTGCGAATATTAATGTACTTGTTCATCATTGTGTCAGTGTTTTATTCGCAAGAACAACAAAGTGACGAAACGCGCTGTGTAGAGCAGTTTGTCCGTTTAGGGCTACTGTAGAAACATGGTGGCGACTTCCATGTAAGGGGACCCGCGGTGTATGTAGATATAAATTGCTCAATCTAAGGTAATAAAAACATAACGGTTCATTAAGTAAGGTCTTTATACACCTCTGAAAACATAGTTATGTATATTATATTGCATTTCTGTCAATAGATCGATGTAAGATCGATTGCATCTTTAAATTTGAGTTATTTTGTGTTATTACTTTTAATTTCTTTCAGTTTAGTTTTCACTCTGTGGCAAACTGGAAAAATTATTTTAGGAATTGTAAATAAAGCAAAGATTACTAGTAAGTTTTTACAAGAAAATGCCATTTCAGTCTTTCTGCTTTATACTTTCTGCAAGCAATGAGTGAATCGTTTTAATGCAGTTTTAGTTTTTTCTACTTTCAGTATTAATTATTCTAGTATTATTTTAGTACTAAACTGTACTGTTACACAATATAAAATTCAATATACTAAACAGACTAAAATCTAAAATATAACTCATCATTTTTATTAGATTTTTGTTAGTTAATGTTCTTTCGTTTCAGTTTATGAAATTCTGTTATTGAGTTTTCATATTTTCATTACACAGAAATACAAACGTATTGGGTTTTACATTTCAAATGGCAGTGATGGTGATTCTGTTTAGAGAAAGTGTCGACAATTTTCCAATTTTGAGATTTTTTCCTTTGAGGGTCCAAAATGCAACCGCGTTTGAATAACAATGACTGTCACAAAATTTCCACAATTATGTCATGAGTCCCACTGACTTTCTGTAGCAACAAGTTTAAATGCACATGCAAGATTTTAAGCACAAAATGGCTGTCAAGGTAGGAAAAAGGGTTACATTTTTGATCATGCAACCTTTGTTAAAGCATTAGGGGAAAACACTGTCATTTGCAGTTCCTTTTCAGATTGTAATATATTGTTTCAGGTGACATTGTTTTTTTGAGACGCAGCCTATTTGTTTAACGGCTACACATTTTGTAAATGTTTAACTGTTGTTTTATATGTTTTTATGTTTAAAAGATGTGAAAAATATATTTTAAAAAGGACGACTCAAGCTCAACAAAGTCGTCCAAGCCTTCTGAAGAGTTTGGACAGTCTTTTATGCAATGTTTGGTGCACTTGCAGCACTTGAATGTATACGGCGCCCCCTACTGGTGAAATAAAAAAGAAACGTTCTTTAGTGTTTAGTCTTTTTGTTTATGTATTTAAATATTTTAAAATTTTGTGTACAGGCTTTTTACTCTTTTTTTCATAGATTAGTAGAGATATATTCTTTTTATTGTTTTGAATATGATGCTAAGTATGCTTTAAATATGTTCCCAGAAATCATAATTTACTCTTTTTAATAATCATAATTTGATCAACCTTAGTACAAAATGAATACCATATTCATTTACCATAGTATTGGTAAACTCCAACCCTTATGAAAATTAACCACTTTATAGTTTTATAGTAAAAGTGTAGTAACTATGTTTTTGTTTGTTTGTTGTTTTTTTGCATATTGACTGCCATTTGTATAACCACAGTTATGCTACAAATACAATAGTTAAAATATGGTGTAACAAAACCATGGTTAATTTGTGGTTACATTGGTTTAACTACTGTACCCATGGCTTTTTTGTTTTTATCTGTAGTAAAACCATGGTAAATTTTCGTAAGGGAAGGTTCAAAACACTAGACATAAACATCGTTGTGGAGACGTTTATGCAGATCTAAAGCGTTTTTACGATTTTCGATTCACACTTTACTTTACTTTACTTTTACTTTTAGTCATTTAGCAGACGCTTTTATCCAAAGCGACTTACAAATAAGAAAAAGTAATTAAAACTAAAAGCTAAAACTCTATAAATACTATATATATATACACACATTTAAGAAAATAAAAGAAATTAAATAAAAATGACAAATGCATACAACAACATTTCAAAACTAAAACATTTAAATGAAAACAAAAAAAAATAAAGCTAAAAACAAAAAATATTAAAAGAACAAAAGGTATGAGTATAATAATGATTCTAACATAACACTAAGCCAAACACCAAAAAAACAACTACATATGTGTATGTACAACCATACACATATACATGTACATATATATAAATACATTCAATATATATATAT